TACCACGGGTTTAATAAATTTAATATCCCTAGTATTAAATAATTAATAATTTTATTTTAGGATAGCGGCGTATAAAGTATTAGTATATATAAGGAAGTTTTGTAAATACTTTATAAAAAAGAAAAGAAATAAATAAAATATTATAGTAGAGGCCGCTATAGAGGCCTTATAATTATAATACTAAAACCCCCCAACGTATAGTAAATAAATATATATTAGTATTCCTAATTTGGATATATCTATCTATATTAAAATTTTATTTAATAATAGCTAAAATTTTAAAGGAATAGAAAAAGTATTTCTATTCCGTAACCTTAAATTATAGTATATAAATATAGGCAACGCTAAACCTAAATTACTATATTAATCTTATCTTCCATTTAATATTTAAAGTACGTTTTAGCGTTTTAAAGTTTAGGAAAATATAGGATATTTTTTCTATCCAAAGTCTTAATTTTTTATAGTTAAAGGTATTAAAAATCCGATAATACTTTTAGGGGGGAATATTAAACCAATTTTAAATACAGTAATAAAAGTTTAAGGATAATTCGATAAGCTATTTTTGTCTATATTTCATTAGGACTTATTAGGATTTAATAGATTTTAATAAAAGGTAAATATTAATTAAAATATTAATATATAGATAGGGGTGTATTTTATTATATGATAGTTAGCTATTATTGTATAGGGTGGTCTAAGGTAAAGTAATATGTACGATATATAGTAAGTAGAGTAAATCCGTTCTAAATAATTAAAAAAATAATTCGTTTCGTTTCGTTCAATTAAATTAGATAAACCAGCGATGAAGGTTGATACTTCGATTAAAATCCGGTATTATCTACTATAAAAAGTAATAATTTCTTATTAGTTAAAAGTCGGTTAAAGAGTAGAAGAAGAGGATTGGGTCTGAAGCACCCCACCCGATCTAGTTTAAATAGGTGAAGAGTTGTCAGTTCACGTGACACACAACAAGTGGGTCTCACTTCTCCCGCCATGTACCCGGCCGTTTTCGCATACTTACTTCCAGGCACCTTGCTAACGGACGGATACTTCAACGCAATGAAGCGCAGCGTCAAAAACATGCATGTCCATTTAGCCATGGAAAGCCATGCACGGACAGAAAGGCGCAATCCTTCCCGTCTGCTTCTAGCTAGAGATTGTACTCGTTGGTCGTACAAAGATGGAAACTTTGGGATCAAACATGCTCTCTCGTGGATTGCCATGCTTTCGTTCCCCGCTGCTGCCCGTGCTCTAATTTGTTTTCCATTGCACAGAGGTAAGGCTGGGAATGCGGTGAGATGAGCAATAACAAGCAAGCACAGTTGAGGATGCAAGACGATGCATAGGAAAAAGTCAAACAAGAAGGATGGATGTTTGCTTGTCCAGCCTTTTCCTTCTTCTTTGTCACTCACGCATGAAGGGCAAGGCTCTGACATGCTTGCGTGGCACTAACGGGCCCGAGAGCAGTGAGCTTTCGTTGTGCATTTCTGCATTTCTGCATCTCTTTGATTGTGTAAGAGAGTCAACGGAGAGGAAAATATTCCATGCCGCGCATCAGGCTTCGACCGGTCATGGCGAGATGAGTACAGTGCCCCTGTCGACGGACATGATGGAAAGTGCTTCACCGAACGGTTTCGGACTTCGCATGCCCAAGAAGGGCCGTTTTTTGTAATTGATGATGACGAGCGAAGCCTGATGATAGCCACGGCCGGAAAGGCAAATTAGAAAAGAAAGCGAGCGCGAACAAGGTAATGATAATAACTTTATGTTCCACAGTTACTCTCATTATAGACCATCTCAGCCCTTCAGATTGAGCTGCAACTTCTTGGTTGCTCCTGGGATAGCGCTTTCATCATTTTCGCCGCCCGTTGATGTCGCTCGTAAATGAACAACCATAACAGACAAGAAGATCCCACACTACCATCACGCGCTCAAGATCAACCATCACCTCCAGTCTAGTAATGGTGACTCGGAGTAATGATACCCCCTTCCCCTTGTCCCAGCACGTTTCTCTCGGTAAACTTGAAGGCTCAATCCCGCCGCCAGGACCCAAGATCTTGGTATAATTGAGGCTTGTTGTATGGTGGGTTTGCAATAAGTGGATATCCGTCATCTCACAAATATCCTATAATGCGAGAAGGCTAGAAGGGACCTCACAGTACTGCATATTGTCTAGAGTGAGATGGAATAGCTTGAAGGGAATTGTGGAGGTGACTGTGAAATAAAAGCAGCATCGACACTGAGAGATGGAGAGAAACTGTCACGAATGATTGCATTCTGAACAAGTGTCATTATGTGAAAGTCTTCTACTGCGTATAAGAACGGGTAGTTGACCATCACCTCCTTGGGGTTAGGATGAGTCAAACCAGGTGCCGACATTACAGTATCTTGCTGAGGTCTTCACCCAGGCTAGACTTGCTGCATGATATATTGTAATCCGAATCAATGGACGCTACAAGTCGGGAACTCCAACATTTGATTGCAACGGTGAGGCTCTATTGAGTGATACGGGAGTGAAAGCCTTACAGAAGAAACGACACACATCAATGCTAAACTGCTTCGAGAGCTGAGTAGGAACGATAAGCTTATAAGATATGTTAAGTTGGTGCGATAATCTCAAGGCTAGACCACGCTTGGTCAATAAAAGCGACGTCTATCCGGTTCGCATGATGCCAAGGTGCTATCGCTACCAACAGCGTCCAAGCATATCGGATAAGCGGCTCAGTGATCCACGGGTATACATACTCCAAGACATGAAGCCAAGTCAAGATGGAAGATGGCGCCTGCCCAGTGGTTCTGAGTGCGCTCCCTGCAGCAAGCCAGGAGCGGGGGAGGCATGGGGCTAACGTACAGGTTGGATGATAAGTCATGTAATATAAGGTCTCGCGATCACTTACCTTTCCAAATTTGCGAGGTCGAAAAACTCACGGCAACATTATCACCAAAGACGACGACAGTTTCAACACAGAGAAATGGCCGACTTACTACTCCCCGAACCGTTCGCCAGCATCCCTCGGGAGCCGCTAACTTTCGGTCCTTCTCCGATCCAGCCCCTCCCCCGCATCTCCCAAGCCCTCGGTGGAAAAGTCAATGTCTTTGCCAAACGGGAGGACCTCAACTCCGGTCTTGCCTTTGGAGGCAACAAGACCAGAAAGCTAGAGTATATCCCACCACCCGCCCGTCAGTCTGTTGTGTTGTCCGTCTACCAGCAGCTTGACTAACAAGCCCGGCCTCTCGGCCCCCAGATACCTCGTCCCCGACGCCATCTCCCAAGGCTGCGACACCCTCGTCTCCATCGGGGGCATCCAATCCAACCACACGCGCCAAGTCGCCGCCGCCGCCTCCAAGCTCGGCCTGCACGCCGCTCTCGTCCAAGAACACTGGGTCCCCGATTGGACCGATCCCGGCTATGACAAAGTCGGCAACATCCAGCTCTCCCGGCTGATGGGGGCCGACGTCCGTCTTGAACCGCTAGCCGGGTTCGGGATCGAGCACAAGCAGACGCTGGCGAAACTCAAAGATGATCTGGAGAAGGAGGGGAGAAAGCCGTATTATATCCCAGCTGGGGCGTCGGATCACCCCCTTGGAGGGCTGGGGTTCGCGAGGTGGGCGTTTGAGGTGGTGGCGCAGGAGGAGGAATTGGGGATTTATTTCGACACGGTGGTGGTCTGTGCGGTGACAGGGTCGACGATGGCGGGCATGGTGGCCGGGTTTAAGTTGGTTGAGAAGTTGGAACGCCACTCAGAAAAGCTGGGCAAGGTAATTAGGAGGAGGGTGATTGGGATTGATGCCTCCGCCAAGGTTGAGCAGACGAGAGCGCAGGTGCTGAGGATTGCGAAGCAGACAGCGGCCAAAATCGGGTTGGAGGAGGAGGATATCACGGAGGAGGATGTCGTGCTGGATGATCGGTACCATGCGGGGGTTTATGGCGTGCCGGACGAGAGAACAATTGAGGCTATCAAGTTTGGGGCGCGGACGGAGGCGTTCATTACCGATCCCGTGTACGAGGGCAAAAGTCTGGCGGGCATGATGGATATGATCAAGAATGGGGAGATTGAGGCGGGAAGCAATGTGCTGTATGCGCACCTTGGAGGGCAACTGGCACTGAATGCGTACTCCGCTTTGGGGTTGGAATAAGTTGCATAAAAGAGTGAAGTTGAAGTGTACATGAGTCTCTCTCGATGGGATCAAAACTCTATTCTGACATGAGTCAGGTAAAGTTGAAGACTCCAGTCTCAATCCTTGTCGTACTCTACAAAGCCAAGGTGCAAGTTGTCGGCGAATGCTACAAAAAGTGGAAGCCATTCACAAATCACGCATGTTTGGCGGAAGTTGCCATGGCCCCATAAGCTCGGCATAAGAGGTGGGCACGTGGGGGTGGATCCACCCGTTCGTTCGTGGTGGGATCGCTAAAACGATCGATCCACTGAAGAAGCTCTCGAACGGCGCTATCGTTGAGCAAAATTTGTGTTGAGTTCTTGCCCTCCCCTCCCTAGGCTCCTCTCCAGTGCTGATCGCTGTGTTGAGTGTTGGAGAAGAAGGGAAGCAGCAATGAGGATGCAGGTGGATGGTGTCATCTCGACGTTGGTTGGGGCAAGTTGCTCTGCGCGCGGATTCCGAAGTCGACCTTGGTTCTGCCGAGATCTTGCATCTTTGAAACATTGCATCTTGTTTACTTTCGGCTTAATCTCTAATCTCTTGAGGCTCTAAACTAGCACCGAGGGGTTTCCGTTTTGTTTTGTCATAGTATCTCCGACCTGCATCAGCGTCTTTTTTTCCCGGGGCTCCATCAATCCATCCGCGGACCGCCTCAACGTCGCCTCGAGTCTCGACCTTTTCCACACCTCCAACACTTTCTTGGCCAGGGCTGAAGAGTCATCATCCGACATTATATAAGGCGCCTCCATCCTTTCTCCCCTCACTGCCAGTTAATCCATTTTTCTCACGAGCCATCTCCCACCCTCTCGGCCAACCATACCAAACACGCCTCCTCCCCATTTATCCATTTCCTCTGATTTCCTTACACCACCAACACAATATTCTGGTCAGAACAGACGATTAGCAGGCACCTCCATTGCTTTCTCGTCCTAGTATGGCGCAGAAATCTTCACACACTCCCGTAGGGGAGACTGCCACACACGTTGTCCCCTATCCCGCAGCAAAGCTCCCATCAGAGGGCGGAAGTGGCCATGATGCCCACCAGCTAGAGGAAGGCCATGTTCCTATGCCTGAAGAGATCCAATACGACACCGCCAGGGTCGAGAAGATCTACCGGTATGTCACTCATTACTGCATCACCACTCTCCTCACCACTGACATGACCACAGCAAGCTCGACTTTCGAATCATCCCCGCCTTCTGGGTCCTTTACTTCCTCTGCTCCGCCATCCGTTCCAACATCGGCATCGCCCAGACCATGAATAAAAACGTCCACCACGACCTCGTCTCCGTCCTCGGCCTGACCCCGAGAGACCTGTCCACGGCCCTCGCCCTCTTCTACGTCGCCTACGTCCTCTTCGATCTGCCCTCAAACCTGATCATGAGCCGACTTTCTCCCCGCGCCTGGATGGCTAGAATCGTCTTCGCCGTGGGCATCATCGGTTGTTGCTTCACGGCCGTCAAAGCCCCCTGGAGCGTCAAATTCCTCCGCTTCCTGCTCGGCTTCGTAATTGCCGGCATGTGGCCTGGCATGTCCTACTACCTGACGCTCTTCTACCCGCCCAGCCGTACCGGCAAGAGAATCGGCATGTACTTCACCGCGGCGCAGTTGTCCGCGGCCGTGGTCGGCCTGGTGTCGGCCGGGTTCCAGGAGATGGATGGCCTAAGGGGATTGACAGGCTTTCAGTGGATGTTCCTCGTCTATGGGCTGCTGGGCATCATGTTGGGCATTGCTCTGCTTTTCTGGTTGCCGGACCGGCCTTTGGCTCCGGGCGAGAAGAGGGTCAGACACAAGTATTTGAGGTGGTTGCCGACGAGCCCCGAGGCGTTGACGGGCGAGGACGCCTTGATTCATTACCAGGATCTCAAGAGGGTGTATCACTCCAGACCTTGGAACATGAAGGATCTGTGGTATGTCTTGATTGACTGGCGTATGTGGCCCTTGGTGCTCATGTACTTTGGAGTCGTGGGTGTTGGTATTGGCACGCAGTTGTATGGGAGCGTCATCATTGCTTCCATCAACCCGAACTTCAGCGGCATCACGGTTAGCTTGTTGTTTGCGCCTATTTGGATGGTAAGTCATGGGTTCAGCTCCTTTTTCCTGTCTACGGGATACCAACTAACGTCAACAGATGGACTTCCTCGCTATCCTCATCTCTACCCCACTCGCCGATCGCTTCCACAAATACCGCTGGGTCTTCTTCTGTGCCGGTTGTGTCATCCAAATCGTTGGCCTCATCATTGTTACCTTTGCCCTCTCCAATGACTGGGCCCGTTACGGTGGCCTGCTCATCATCGGCTTTGGTCTCGGTCCGACCGTGCCCAACTGCATGGCCTGGACGAACGAGATCTTTCAGAAGCGACATGGCGAGGTTGGTGTGGCCGCTGCCTCAGCTCTGGTCTCCGGGCTTGGAAACTTGGGTTCCATCACTACCACGTACGCACTGTATACCGGATGGCCTGAAGATGCGAAAAAGGGACCTCATCAGTACCGCAAGAGCAACTACACCATGATTGGCATTCTTGCTGTAAGCATTGCAAGCACTATTCTCCTGGCGGTTCTGCTCAGAATCTTTGGCACTGAGCCCAGCCGAAGGTTTGTGGCAAACAGTGGCAGCTCTGATGGAGAAGAAATCATCGACGGTGCTGCGTTGCGCGAGAGGCAGATGCGTGGATTTGGTGGGGTGCTGGGGAGAAAGAAGAACTAATCTCTTCCACTGAAGAGAATGAGGAGTTGAGCTTGCGGTCTCGTCAAACCATCACCGCCGAACTCTCCACGGAAGCACAAAGGGTGAAGCTTTGTTGCTGCCACACACAACCACCAGAAAAGGGCTACAACTGATGTGGTTCACCTCCGTCGCACCGGTTTACTTTGCGACACTAACCTTTACGACAACTGTCGAACGGCATCTATCCGTTCACGACACGACTACACGACAAAACTTCTTGCCTCATTAATCAACGATGATGGGGCCGAGGGAAAGTGACAATGCTTCTACGCTATTACTTTGTCTTGGCTCATCCTCACTTCAACACGAGGCAAGATGTTACCCAGAGAAAATAATGAAGAAAGAAAAGACGACAAACGCGAATACGAAACGAGGAGGACGAACGAGAAAAAAATGGTGGTTTGCTTTTCGGTTTCTTTTGGCTTATTGTTATGATACCCCATCCGTGTTTAAATACGCTGTCGCCTTTGCCGAGTTTTACCAGGATACCCTTTTCATATCTTCCTCATCAATATCTCGACAGCGACAGTGCGCTAACGCCATCGCTGGGACGGCGTGTTGGGACCGAGTACCTTGATCCCGAAAGGGAGGCGGCGACAATGCTTCTACGCTATCGCCAATGCCGGGTCTCGTGGGCGTTTTTGTTTTTGGTTTTTGCTTTATACACATATACATGTACCCTTGCCGAGAAACAAAGGGAAGGAGAAGGATCACATGTTGGGCTGTTGATAAACAGATAGACAGTCATCCTTTGGTTATTAGATCCCAATCAATACAGCACTACTTTGCTGGAACTTTCATCAGTGAACAGACGACATGTATTGCTTCATCTTGGTGATATTGGGTCTCTTGTTGATATGTGTTGGTATTTTGCTTGGCATTTTGGAAAAAGACTCATCATTGCCTTGGTCAAGCAATTCGTCGAGCCACAATGAAATGAACTGCATTGATAGATTACGGGAGACATGGTCCTAGTTACAAAAGCCCTAAAACCATGACTTGGTTCCAACAACTGTACCATGATATTCCCAACACCTGCTCCCTCACGGCCACCCACTCTTCAGCCTCTCAGCAAAGAACTCCATCATAGGCAGCACCTCCTCCCTACTCCTAGGCATCCCATCATCCGGCCTCTTCCACTCCACCACCTTGACGTTCTCAAACTCCCTCTTGATCAAATCCACCTCATCCTCACCCACATACTCACTCTCGCTCCCATGCAAAACCAACACGGGCGTCTTCGCCTTCTCCCTCGCACTGATACTAGGAATCATGGAAGGCGGCAATGCCCCTCCAATCGAAACGATGCCCTTGAACGCCTTCTCCTTCTCCTTCCTCTCACCAACAACCACTCCCTCCTTCACCTCCTCTCCCTCCTTTACCTCCCTAACCTTGGCTTCATCTTCACCAACCCCAACCCCCCCCTCCCAAGTCCGCACCTTGCTCCCCAACCCCAACGCCACCCCGCCACCCTGTCCAAACCCAAACAGCAAGATATCACCCAACTCCCATCCACATTCCTTCATCAACACCTCCCCAATCAATTTGCCCATCACCAGCTCCCAGACTTTGTCGTAGCCCGGATCCATGTCGATTTCGCCCGTCCGTCCGTCCAGTTTCAGGTCATCCCCCCAGTGGAAGTTGTTGGTCGGCCCGCTGTCGAGCGGTAGGCCTAAGAGGGAAGGGGGTAAAGGGGCGATTCCCCGGACGGAAATGGCGAGGACGCCGGGCAGGGAGAGGTTGCGGGCGAAAGAGAGAAACGGGGTGTCGGAGTCGCCGAGGCCGTGGAAGAGGAGGAGGATGGCGGTGGTGGATTCGGGTGGGGAGGGGTAGTGCAGAGACAGGGAGAGGTGGGGTTTGAGGGGGTTGAAATCCTCGGGTTGGGGGATGCGGGTTGGTGACATTTTGGGTTGATTTGATTGTTTGGTGTGGTGGTGTGGTGGTTTTCAGTTCAAGTTGAGTGGGGTGGGTGGTGGTTGAGCTCCTTTTTGAGGAGTATATATAGATAGTTTCTGTGGCGGAAGTTGATGCGACACTGAGAATGGGTGGTGATTACCCTGATTGGGACCGAATGTTGACTGAGTGTGACGATGGCTGAAATGAGTTGTGACTTGTGAGTTGTAGTGTAGAGGGAAAAAGAGAACTGAACGGAGCCAGCTGCGGAGTTGATGAGATGACGATATCGTTCGTTCGCTTAGGTAGGTGGTTGTTACGGAGCGGGTCCCCCGTTTCTTCGGGTTCGGAGAGCCCCGCTTTTAACCGAGTGGATTCCCCTGATCGCCGGACATCTACAATTAGAGGTATCAACTTTGATATCATCAACTTTCTGATGGGAAACTAATGATGATGAGGAATAAGGAAGATATATTGGGATGAGGTCGTCTATTATAGGAAATGCCGAGCGCAAAAGCATCTGCCAGAGGTAAACATATCCTTACCTACTTATGCCAGAACTTCACACCTATTCTAGGCCTTGATTCGTATGTAGAGGTATTTTTCAACGAGTTCATGCCCAAAATGCGATAATTTTCTATTATTTTCCATTGGTATCTCATCTAGTCTATCATTCTTTCTCCGCCTTCTCCGCAAACCCTCTCTCCTCCAAATCCTTCGCATCAGCATTTTCATCCGGCACCAACGGCGTCTCAGCCACCGAATCCACACCCGATCCCAAACCCGAAGTACCGTTCTGCTCATCCTCTATCCTGAGATCCGCAACCTTGTCCTCAATCTTCTTCTCACCCTCAAACTTGCTCCAAGCAGGTCTATTCCTCTTCTGCTCACCCGGTCCCTCGCTCTTAAAGTGATACCCCCTCGCCCTCGGCCTCTCTCCCAAACCCTGAGGAATCTCAGGTTCGTACCTCAACGCAAACTGCCTCGCCTTCTCCTCAAAGGTACCATCGGCCAGCGCCTCGCGGATGGAAGCAAAAAAGGAAGCCAGCACGGCGTGGTTGTGAATCTGCAACAGCGTCCAGCCCAGCATTTCTCTGGCGCAAAGCAAGTGCTGAACAAAAGCACGGTGGTGCGTGGTGCAGGCGTAGCAGGTGCAGGATTCGGTCAGGGGCTGGAGGGAGATGGCGTGCTCGGGGGAGGACATGTCGATGCCCAAGGGCAAAAGGTCTGAAGACTCGGAGGAAGGTGGGGGAAACGTAAAGGACAAAGCGATGCCGGCGTCGGAGGCGGTCGAGAGGAAGGGAAGGAGGAAAATGTCCATTCCCAAGGAAAGCTGGCGGAGGACTTGGTGGGGGTTGGAGGGCGTGGAGAGAGCCAAGCGGGGCAGGGTGTCGAGGTTCTGGTAGGAGGCGGAGATGTCGGGGATCAGGTCGGCATCGTAGACGGCTAGGCCGGAGAGAACAGAGGGGTTGGACTGATGCTCTTCGGAGAGACGCTCGAGATACTCCCATTGGATGGAGTAGCTGATGGGAAGGACGGGGGCGAAGGTTGCGATTTTGGAGGGCTCCTGGTTTCGGCCGTACATGTCCATGAACCACTCCTTGATCCAGTCGTCGGTGCGCTCGGCCATGCGGAGGGCGCGCTTGGAGGTGGGCGCGCTGGTCTTGTGGGTGAGGTCGGCGAGAGGAATGGCAATGTCGGGGTTGAGAGTCTGGATGGCGTTGATGTACTGCTTTGTGGTGACGGCTTGGAAGCCGGTGGAGGTGAAGACGGAGATGGACTGGTTGGTGTTGCCCATGGGGGCGGCGACTGCGGGAATCCTCCGGGAACCGAGAACGGTGATGATGGAGGAGGGCATGGCTGTGAAGCTCTGAAGAGGCTTGTTGTTGGGCGAGGGAGTCTCATAGACGGGAGGTGAACGGGTCATGTATTGCTGCGGGCGCTCGATAACTGGAACATGGTTAAGACAAGATTTCCAAATGTGGAAAAATTACGACCTACAGTCCTCCAAGGCCATATATGTGCCATTGGTGAGCAAGTGTTTCTCAACATTGTCGGGGGTTACGTGAGGGATGACACCTCTCGAAGTGAGGCCGAAGAAGTTGGGAGTGTCAACAGTCCGACGACCTGGAAAGGCCAAACGACCGAGTCTGGCACCGCCATCCTTAACGGCGGTCTTGAGCAGTTCAAAGGTCATGGCTGTTGGTTCATGTCCATCACTCGACATCTTTTCTGAATGGACCCCTCTTGGTGGAGAGAGGAAGTTTTTGATACGGGAGTGAGGTGAGGTGTTGGGATGGATGCCGGGACCTGAAAATTTCCAGGCTATGGAAGCGGCAAACGCAATGACCTCTTTTGATGTTATGGTGATGAGAGGTCTCCAAGACTCTTTTCAAATTTTTGTCTGGTCTCACCCTCAAGGTTAGGTGGTTTCTACAGTCTCAAAATTTCGTGATACGCAGTTCTGGAGTTTTTGTTACATCGGCCAGTTCCGTTGGTGATGGTTCGCGCAGTGTCTGTGTACCTTAGCAAGCCTTCCTTTCCAATAACGGTATTTGCGTATCTTTTACGCAGTGGTTCACCGTTCTGCTCCGCCAAGCTGTTAAGGACCACCTGGAGTGAGGGGTGCACAGGGGCTGTTCCCTGTAACTCAGGTGCTAGAACCGCCTCGCCTTGGCAAAGCTGAAGGGAAGGTGGGGTTCTGGATCTCTCGGGTCCCTGGGGCTTGACTCAAGAGCCCCTCTCGTCCCGCCCCGCCTCTCTTGTTTGGTGTCAGTGGGTGTGGTGCCTGGCGCTCCCGCTGCGTCTGTGTCTCGCCTGCCGTCGGGGTGTCAATGTTTTAGTGTTGTTGAGGGTGATAACTAGATATGGAAACTTTGATACAGCGGTCGTCGACATTATCCACACATCACCAAATGATACCTTAGAGGTAGGTATGATTAACAAGACACTTTGAGGTGATCCAGATCGGACGCCGAGATACATATGTAATGACATCTCCGCCATGACGAACAGGTCGAGCTGCAGGGACCGATTGGCAATGATCGACGACACGTCCCATTCTGCCCTGCCAGGCCTGTGATTCAACTTCTTCCAGGCCCGTGCGTGCCAATCACGGCCAGTGTTTCGAAGAGAAACCGAACTGAACCGGGCACCGTCTTATCCGGCCACTGCGGCCTCGGGTCGCCCAAAGCGGTGCATCCGGCAAAGGCACAAGCAGTAGACTTGGTGTATATCCCTTCATTTTGCCCTGTTCCGTCCATCTTGTTTCCCTTTTCCCACCTTTTTACACTTCATGTTGAACATAGTCTCATACACTCGCGGATCGCAGATGCTTTGTTTATCTTGTTGTTTTGCGGTTCAACTGCATTGATACCCCCCCATCGCTTATCGCAAATTCCAAACGTCTTGTTGACTTTTACTTGTTTTGTTTTGATGCGTTTCGTCATAGCTTGCTTGGAACGGTGTTAGTCTCCACGCGGTCCATCAAGGTCTCCGAAGCCATCTCAGCATTTCACTATACATATACGAACAATTCAATTCGATACACAGAAACATACGCGAGAAAAAGTCATGGTGGGAACCCAAGACGGGGCGACGTCCCCCAAATCAGCCCACCAAGCACATCAGGTACCCCAGGTTCAAGATCTCGAGAGCCTCTCTTCCTCCTCCGGTTCAGACAACAGCGCCAGCAGTAGCAGTTCCAGCAGCGGCACCGGCACTCCGAACGTTGCCAACAGCGCAACGATACTCATTGCGACCGACCACCCCGACGCACCACTTCCCGAAATAACCCTCGTCGAAGCCCTCGAGGCCGACAGCTCTCCGCCTACTCCCCGATTCATCCAGGACGCCGGCTCATGGAAGAGGTGGAAATGGGTACCATATCCCGTCCGGCGCTCCATTGTCGCCGTTATTCGATGGGCCCACGGCCCTGCCACTCCTCAGCGGTTCCGCATCAAGCCACTGTTTCCCAACGTCCAGTATGCGCCTATCCTGCTCCTGGAGAAGAAGTTCCCACGGTTGAGGCATAGGTTGTGGCTGCTGTTCTTCTGGATTGCCATATGGATCATCACCTTCGCCTTGGTCATGCGCAAAGAGCTGGATGTGGACGAGATTCCCGGATGGGGCAGACCCGTTTCGATTGGCTGTGGCGCGGCTTACTGGAACATGGACAATGGCTGCGGACTCAATGGCATGCAATGTCGGCCCTTCACCGATTCGGGCTTTGCCTTCAAGTGTCCTGCCAACTGTGCAAGTTACCAGGCCTTGAACCCGCGCGCTGTGGGTGACCAGGAGGTTGTATACAGGCCTCTGGTTGTTGGTGGCCCGCCAGCAACAGGGAACGATATCACTCCAGTCTACCGTGGTGACTCCTACCTCTGCGGCTCTGCCGTCCATGCCGGCGTTGTGTCAAACGCGCACGGCGGCTGTGGTGTCGTGCGCTTGATCGGGACGCAGAGGAATTTCAGCAGCTCCTACCGGAACGGAATCGAGAGCATCCCCTTCGATTCCTACTTCCCGCTGTCTTTTACCTTTGAGGAGGGCGTCCAATGCTCAGCTAAGGACATGCGCTGGGCGCTCCTCGCCATCTCCGTGGTCTTTTCCAGCGTACTTTCGGTATTGATCACTTCCCCCACCCTCTTCTTCTTCCCCGTCTTCACAGGCATCTATTGGACCGTTGGCCTGGCTACCGACCCGGCCAACATCACCGATGTCCCCTCCCTGATCTCGCGCGAGCTCGGCTCCTTCCTCCCGGCCATCCTCGTCGCCTGGGTCATGTACGACCACATGGGCATTCGCCGCTCCTTAACCGGCCTGACGGCACAGTTCGAGAAAACCGTCCTCTGGCTTGGCGGCTGCTGGGTCGGCGCTCTGACGAATTACACCTTCGATTTCATCCCTATCCAGCGTCTCACACCTCACGATCTGCAACAACAGCCCGGTGCGCGGGCCGCCCTCGCCATCATCATCGTCGTTTTGACCATCATCACGGCCTCGCAGGTCTGGTTCTTCCGGCAGGAAGGTCGACTTGTCCGCTACCTCAAGTTTTACACCCTCGTCGGCGCCGGTCTGATCCTCTGCGTAATCCTGCCGGACCTCAAGCTGCGCATCCACCATTACATCCTCGCTCTCCTCTTACTTCCCGGAACAAGCATGCAAACCCGTCCGTCGCTGCTCTACCAAGGCTTGCTAGTCGGGTTATTCATCAACGGCATCGCTCGCTGGGGGTGGGATCCTGTCCTGCAAACAGCTTACGCGCTGCAGGGAGACGCCCAGCTGGGATCTCCCCTGCCGGCCCTCGCCGCGCCCGTGATCTCACTGGGGACGAATATTTCCAGCATCACCTTTATGTGGGGCAAGCCGCCGGGGAGGATCTACGATGGGATTAGCGTGCTGGTGAACGATGTAGAACGGTTCAGGACGTATTTTAGCGATGATGAGTTCGACAAGAACGCGCCCTCTAACTTTACTTGGACAAGGGAGGGAGAGGAAGTTGGGAGAGATAATGAGTATTTTAGGTTTGCGTGGATGCAAGGGTACAAGAGCGAGGATTATACCAAGGCGGGGGTGTGGACGAGGGAGGGGGAGTGGATTGCCATGGCTCCGGGGCCGTCGAGGGTGAAGAAGAGGGGTTCTATGGGGGTGGTTGGGGAGGAGGAGGAGGGGAGGAAGAGGTTATCTTGATGACATGGTATGATACCTATATTTGGGATATAAAGTATATATATGGCTATGATTCGCCCTTGTAACTCGATAATGAATGTTGATCTGATTCAAGACGTGAAAGGTGACCTTTATGTTTTGCTTCTGTGAATATCTGTCAACTTTTCCCTATCTGCCTTTATTGAGGACTTCTCCACAATTGGGCGAGGAGTGGTCAGTTCTGTTTGCTTGTTCTTTTTGACAGTATCGTCTCTCAAAGCAGATTGTCAATCTCACTTTGAGTCCCACCAAAGGAACGTTCATACAGGCAGTTCATAACCATTAATTGATCTCAGTACTCTAGATATCCCCTCCACTTTGTGACTCGCCTGTAACCTATGGCTCACCAGCTTCAGCTCTGGCTCCAGCCCCAGCATCATCCTCATCACCAAGCTGTATAATCCTCTTCGGCTTCTTCTTCTTCACCTTTTCTTTCTCCTTCTTTTTTATGGTAATCACCGCCTCTCCCTCTCCCTCTCCCTCTCCACCCACTGGTCCTCCTTCCCCTCCTCCCTCTGTCGCGTCTGCCTCCGCCTTCTTTTTCTTCTTCTTCTTCACCACCTTCTTCTCCTTCTCATCTTCGCCAGCCCCAGGACCATCTTCTTCCGATTTCGACTTGGACTTGGTCTTCTTCCCCTCCTTCTTCTTCTTGCTCTTCACCACTACCCCCTCTGTCGGCACCCCTTGAGCGACGTGTATCCTCTCATTAGCCCTCTGCATCTCCAGCCTCAACCGCTGGACTTCCTTCATGGCCTTTGCCATTTCCGCGTCTGTCTCCGCGAGCTTTTCGTGCGGGAGAGCACCACCACCAGAATCCTCAGAATGGCTGGCTTCGAGGCTGAGGTTGCGCAAGTGGCTGGAATCCACCTGCAAAAGGGACTGCTTGAGCTTCCGTGCTGCGCGGGACTTGGCGCTGGCGCTAGACGGATCCGCGTCCGAGTCATGCTGGCTTCCCGTCCGCGGGGTGGACGGACGGCTGCCGACTAGCGTTTCGTCTGCGGCGACGACGATTTGGGGGCGTGATTTGGGCGCCTTGGATCGCTGAGGTGTTCCGGGAGCGCCGCCGACACCGGAGGAGCTGATGGCGCCGAGGTCGAGCTTCATAATGGGGATGGAGTCGATGTCGAGGTCGGGGCCGTTTTCGTTTTGCAGAATGTTGTGTATTGGGGTGGAAGTGCCTTGTGAGCGAGAGGGACTGCCTAGGTCGCCAATGTAGAAAGGGTCGTCACGGTTGCGCTCTGCTCGTTCGGCCTTGCGACGGGCGATGATGTCTGCGTCAAGGTAGCTATCCTCTGTCGCTTGCTGGTAGGAGCCCGATGTCGTCTCGGGAGCGTCCCGTAGTCTGTTTATTGCTGGCTCGCTGGAGATGCTGGTTGGTGCTGCCTTTTCGTTGTAGTAAGCTGAGAATTCGTCGTCTTCCTGGATGGGAAGCATCAATGAGTCTGCTTGCGCCAGCAGGCTGCTGAGGTTAGGATGAATAGGTTCGTCCAGGTCCAGGCCCTCCGGCATCGGGACATTCAACTGAGCGCCAACTGCGACGGAGTTCAGCTCCCAACCCTGGAAGAGAGAGGGTATCGCTTGTGTGAGAAGGAGGGGCGGGTCTTGCTCGAGTTCGTCCGTTGATGACGCCTGTGCCGATGCTGCCTCGGCGGTGAGCTTCAGGAGCTCGGTAAATTCAACCGCGCGTTCCTGGACTTCAAGAGATGGATGAAGCACTAGGGGCTCGTATGTATGGATGACTCGCGCCATGAGCAGAGATACCATGGACTTTCGTTCTGCTGTCCAGTATGTTTGGTCGTTACCAGCAATCAGTGCGAACAACTTCATGGAGGCCTGCAGGCAGGTTGCGAGAACCTCGGAGGGTCTGATACGCGGTATTAACTGTAACAGGTGATTGAGTGTGTCGCTTGGATTTGAGAGCAGATTTGCGTATTCTCCGGCGATCCAGGCAACAGGCTTCAGTGAACCTGATATCACTTGGTGTGACGTGGTCTCCATCGATAGCTTTGCAATTATAAGCTCGGCAGCCCGAACAGCGGCAGCTCTCACTGCTTTCACCTTGACGGCCACGTTTCTGAGCTCATTACCAATACTCTCCGAAATATCGGCCGTGGTAGATTTCGGCCCCAGTGCCATGCCGTCCGAGTCAACCTCCTTACGAGACGCCGGAGCAATCCGGATAAGTTGTGTTAGTACGTCAATGTACCAGTCAAAGTCGACCACACTCGAGTAGTTGTTCTGCGAGCACATCTTGAGGATCCTGCCGATAACGTCAATCGTATAGTCTTCGGGGAGAGGAGGAGCCTCATCTCGTTTCCTGGACCGTCGTTCAGCGCCCATCTCTTCACTCGAGTCGGTTGACAGATCATCCAACTGATCATTGTTCGGGTTTGTGGACGTTTTCAGCTGCCTCATAAGCCGGCTGACAATGGATACCAGGTTATCGCTGCTGACCATCCCTTGTACCAGGTCTAGGGCCTTGATCCTGATGGTTATGTCTTCGCTGTCGATGCACTCCATGATCACGTCCTCTTGTTGGGCAACAAGGAACGGGTGCGTAACCACGATTCTGTTGAAGGCCAACAGAGCCACATATTTCACTGAGCGGAAGACATGGTGAGAATTGTACAGACAAAGTCAAGAGGTAAAGGTACTCACAGTTCGCATCGCCGTTGAAAGTAATCATGCCACGAAGCTTTGAAACGCACAGACTAGCAATCTCCTCCCTGCCATCATCTTCCGAGTCTCCAAGGATTCCTCCTTGTATGATGCCGTTGATACATTCGTATAACAGGGACATTGCCGGCGTTGTTCGGATCAGATCGGTCAGGGGCGGCAGAAGCTTGCGAACGAGACGCGGTTCTAGAGGGGTGAGGGTCGCAAACTGAGCAAGTTAGCAAAGAGGCCGTCAAGTGGGAAATCCGGATTTCCTCGTACCAGTTTGATCAACTTTATCGCCATCCAGTTGTTACCCCCATCTACCAAGAGCTCGAACAGGCGCGGAGCCAGGGGCAAGAAATCCTGGGGTCTCCGCCAGCCGAGTTCACACACCACGTTCACAATGGCTGCTGTCACGCTCGGATCCTCGTGCTTGTCCATAAGTCGCTCCTTGATTTTTGGCCATGCTGCTCGGAGGGTCTCTGGGTATACCAGGGCTAGTCTGTATAGTGTAACAATGGTCTTCTTCCTAATAGCCGAATGCGAGTGACTGAGACGCGGCAGTAGGTCTGCTAGTACGGAAAGGGCAAGGGAGGGCGTGATGATATGCGGGAGCGCAGCAATGGGAAGTGAGATGACGATCGGGGAGGAGGCCGAGAGGTCCTTCTTGAGGAGGTTGGTGGCTAGCATGAGCACTTCGGTATCGGTCTTGAAGCTCTGGACGGCGCCGAGATATCCAACGCGCTTCTGGTGGTATTTTGGCGAGGACATGACCTCGAGGACATGGAAGGAAGCCCACGACATGTCATGGCCGTTCATCTCGAGGTAGATGATCTTGAGGAGGGCCGTGGCCTTGACATCTTTGCGCATGTGTTAGCAAAAGCAACGGGCGCAACAACACAAGAGGGACGAACCCATGTCTTGGCTTTTGATCTCGGAACGACATTCTTTCAGACAGTTCTGGATGTACTCCTTTTCGTTTCCCTTGTGGTTGCGCAGACCTCGGATGAGGTCGTACAGCGACTTTTCGAACCTAGGGGGCATCAGCTAAGTCGATTCGTGCAGACGGAAGCCGGAGCTTGACGCACATGGTTGCGGTTGTGGTGGCCCAACTGGCGATGTTCCCAGTGTTGTGAGGACTATATCGAAGTTGGGGAGGCTTGACGCTGGCGGCGCAACGGGTAGCAATCGGTTCGCGTGAGGACTTGGTGACAGGAATCGAAAGTGTTTACAGGTTTAGTATAAGCTGAAGGTATAGCGAGGCGACGGGGACGAGGTGTTGCTGTGTCTGGACTGAACCGCAACTCGACGCATCTTGCCGCGGCCGTAGTTGGGGAGATGCTGTGGGCGCCACCCGGGTCGAGGGTTGTAAGTAAATGCGCTTCTCGTCGTCACGCCGTTGGGTTTACTTGTCGTCGTCGTCGTCGAGACACGCTTGACGGATCTTGGTTTGGAAACGCAATGGCCGTCAACGACGCTGCTGCTGGAGATCCGATGTCCGTGGTGGGTTCACAATGTGGCACCCTCCCTCCCCGTCCTGGTCGTCCGGGCCACTGCTATCTCACGTCACTGGCTGACCTCTCTGCCTGCCTGTGCTTTGGGGTGAGGATGGTACAGTTTGCGACTGTCCCCTAAAACCCCAGATTGCACTGTCTGTCCAGCTGTTTTACCGCTGACAGACGGGAGCAGCTATGACACAGTGAGAGCTCCAAACGAGGGGAGGAGCTCCACCTATGCTTGCCCCACCTCACCTACCCATCCACGGGCAGTGCCTGGGCGGGCGGGCATTCAGCTCCAGCTTGCAGTGCTCGCCGCGCGACGTCGGGTCTACCAGCGTCCAGCATTGTACAGATTGACGCCAGAGAAGTGGAAGCTTCAGTTTCCCCGGCCATCAACTTCTCCTCTTCCACCATTTGACGTCAGCTTCCAAACCTACCAAGCTGAAGCCGAGACTTCGGATTGCCTCCATCATACTTGCGCCAATTGTCATTCAGCTGTTTACAAGTCACGACATAGTGGCCCCCTTCAAGCTTAACGAGCGACGCGATTCTTGGTCCGGCTCGAAGCCCGACGACTATATCGAATATACACAATGGCGCCCTCGCTGCTCTTCAACCCGGCCAAGCTCCCTCCTTCGGAAGCTCTCCAACTCGCACAGCAAGCCCCCGTTGTCTTGCAAGGATCGTCATCACCGTCCGAGACGGTGGACCAATGGGCAACGTTCGAGAATCTGCTGCTAGCGTGCCTCCGAACCGGCGATGATGAAGCGGCCGCAAAATGTATGGATCAGCTGGAGGCACGGTTTGGCCCCGACAATGAGAGAGTCATGGCTTTGAGGGGCTTGTTGTCCGAGGCCCAGGCCGAGAACAACGGAGAGCTGGAAGCGGTGCTCAAGCAGTACGATGCCATTCTGGAAGGAAACAGCACCAATCTCGTGGGTCATGACCGTTTACGCCAACTGTTCCCGGACCGCAGATTTGCTAACCCGCCATGTCTACGTCTACAGCCTATCACAAAGCGCCGGATCGCCCTCCTACGATCCATGGGTCGCGTCTCGGATGCCGCAACCGCTCTTGTACAACTCCTCGACTTCTCCCCAACCGATGCCGAGGCCTGGTCTGAGCTGTCGGATCTCTACTTCACACAAGGGCTGTACTCTCAGGCCATCTACGCCTTGGAAGAGGTCCTCCTTCTGTCACCCAATGCCTGGAACGTATGCGCTCCTCCCTCACCCAACAGCCTCAGCCCTATACTAATGTAGCCCATCCAGATACATGCACGACTGGGAGAGGTGCAGTACATGGCTGCCACGACTTCGGGAAGTGGCGGTGGATCGCAGCAAAAGTACTTGGCCGAGGCGCTCAAGCGGTTTGCTCGGAGCATTGAACTGTGCGACGACTATCTCCGTGGCTACTATGGGCTGAAGCTGGTAAGTTTCCGATAGCCGTCATACGCGAACAAAACAATTTATGCTGACCGTCTGCTAGGTCACCACGAGGCTCCTCAAGGAACAGGCCAAACAGGCCAAACAAACTGACGATGGCGAGTTCACTCTGCCTGATCCCAAGACAATTGAGCGTCTCGATGAGCTTGCGACGGCCAAGCTATCGGAAATCGTTCGTCACAGCACTCTGAAGGACAGAGGCTGGCGCGGCTATGACGAACGTGAGGTTGCAGCTGCCCGAGAACTGCTCTCACAAAATGGAATTGAGAGGTGAGATTTGATGCCATTGAACGAGGCAAACGGTACGGCGCTCAGTCCAGTGACCGATTCGATATGTTCATTGCCCGCTGGATGTATGGTGTTTGGCACAATTTCAACGTGTTACCGACATCCCCCGCGCATATAATGGAAGGCCATCGTCGCAATCGGAACGGCCTCTCTGACGATGGCTGGGACTAGCGAGTGAGCATCACTGGTATCCTTGCAAGGTACTTTGGTTCCTGCCTGCATTAGTCGACGCAGTGGGTCTTTGGGCAGCGAAAAGGCATCAAGAAATCCGGCTTCACGTGGCTCCAGTAGATGCCCAAAGGCGATCCTTTGCCCGGTGGTAAGACGGGCGGCGCAGGCGTTCTCAGCCCAACCAGAAAGAGAACGCCTTCAAGCCCGCGACTGTTGCGTTGATGCAGGTTGCGAAACCTCCCGAACCCTTCATGAATTTTTTTGTTCTTTCAATTTCTTGGGCAGAAAAAGGCGTTTATAAATGGTGGCCGGGTTTCAGCTCGGAACGACATCTGACTGGCTCTACGAATTGCGCGGTACGTATCGCAACATGGTCACCGGCCGGCCATGACACCGGCCCATCTTCCATTTTCTTTCTTCCAACACCATGTACAGACTCAAGACGAGGTATCCTTGACAATAGTTGATGCCTTACTCTGGGGGGTGTCTTTTGAAGCGGTCCTTGGTAATAATGATAATGAATCAAGAAAAGTTATGGGATTTCAAGATCACCATGAGTGGTTTCACAACCTTTCTGCCGCATGGCCGGCGCCGAGTCGGATGATGCTTATACATGAGCAATCCGGAACAGCAGCCGACGATATTATCCAGCATCTTCCAGTCTGTCTCTGTTAGCGTAAACTACGCAACATGCGACCCCAGATACTTTGAACACCACTCTGTCATTCTCCCCTCTCACAAGTCAATCTGAGCTTAAAGAACAACGGAGGAAAGCAGGACTTGGACGAAATACTCATTTCAACAAGACTTCTTCGAAGGAGACTCTTAACATTGACTCATTCGTAAAGACAAGAAAAAAAAGTCTAAAGAGTCGACATGTGTGATTCACACTATCTGTCTGCTACTTCTAACATCTTTGGGCGGTATGTAGTGTGTCACCAACGACGGAGGGTCGTCGCTCATCCCCACCATCCCCCCTGTCTCCCCAGTCTTTAGATTCCTTTCCGTCACCAGACTAAACCTTTTCAGTACCCCTGCCCTGAGCATCAACTCGGGCCAAGCCCCTCTGAAACTAAAACTCTCACCTCTTTCACTCACTATCCACGATGGAGTCGTTTGCCTGGTTGCTTATGCTCCTGCTGCCTCATGAGTCGTGCGTACAGTCACTCGGTGAGGACACAAAGGCATCGAGTTTTCGCAAAAAGACCGTTACCTTTCAGCTATCAGGATACGGTCGACTTACACTACAGAAGAGTCTGGCAATCTAGAAAGCCGGGTAAGGCCCTATCTAGTGTATCAGTGCTTAGTGTAAGGATGGTGAGGACAGGGTTACCTGTCTCTATGCACCGCAGGCAGGACACAACACGCTCCGCCTTTACACACGGTCTCCGTCGTGCTGCAGTTCCCCCAGCCTTGCTGAGACGCAGCGACAAGACTACCGTCTCAGGCCCAACCATGAGGCGCCTTTCTGTGTGTTCCCTCCGCTGATACCTGTTCCCGGCTCTTCCAGCATCGTCCAGCTCGCGTTACGGAAGGATGCGGTATGTGATTCCGTAGTAGTGCTTCCTGCTGGAGGAATTTTACTTTGCAGGGGCATGTTGACCATATGAAATAATATTCCTATACATACGGCAAGACGGCTGCCTACAGCTACATCCGCTGACCTTGGACCCGAAGTATCAACGCCGGCAGTACTTCACTTGGTCTGCCCTCCTTCAACCAAACAAATCTTTTTTGTCCGTCTTGCCATACGGAGTACTCTGTACCCCCGATACTAGGCGGCTCTTTTTGCATCCCATCTCCCTGCCTCCTTTGCACTACAGACTGTGCCTACGTTCTGCGTAAACACATCTCGCGCTTCCCCCGCTGCTACTCTACGACCATCTAACAAGATCCAAGCGGTCCAATACGCTCCAAGTCTTGTAACTACTCACCAGTGAAGTAGCCAACCTTATGCCGACCATCAGCGACAGTTGAGAAATTCTAGACCACCTCACATACACAAAACGCCTAGATCGCCACGAACTCGCAACCACCGCGCAGCGAAAGCCAGCCAACCAGAAACCCACAGGGTCCTACAGGAATACAACGGTACGTGGTGATCTCCTTTGATTGCTTTCTCCTGAACCACGCATCTCCCCCTTTTCTCTCTGCTGTCCTCTATCAGCAGTCTCTCTGTCTTGGCGGGGTCGCCAGCTCGCAAAGTCGCGGGGAAGCTTTAAAGCATTGTGAGGAGGAAGGTGTGAAAGAATCACTCGTAAGGACAGTCCAGTTTCTTGAAGCGCTCAACACGAACCGATCCGACCGCCTATATAAACACGAGGTCAAGGGACAGGCCAGCCAATCCGGCCATGGTTTGTCTCGGTGCAACTGTCAAGTTGCTGTTGTCGTTGTTGGCTGCAAATTTCTTATTCTTTCCCCCTTCCGTGAGATCGGGACGTCTAGCGAGACAAGATGCTTCCCGCAGTCCACGCTACCTACCCCAGACTCTCTTGTGACATTTCTATCGAACCTCTGAGGCTTCTAGATGTTAGCCAACCCCTCATTGATTGGGCACTAACAGCCAAGACCACAGGGTACACACTCGGCGTTGTGTTGTCAGATCACTTCTGGTACGTTTTCAGACACGTCCTCTTTCACTGTTAGCCCATTTTCGGATCCGTTTCTCGTCTCTACACTACACCCACCAATTCAGGCAGGCCCTCTGTCCGAGACAACAGTGAGCCTTCTTAACCCTGTCAACTCTGTTACATAGCCTGGCTCCTCAACCCTCGGCTTGCCCCGCTATCGTTCCCCTCGTTGTCGATCTGATCTAGATCCCTTGTTCGCTATCCAAACGGCGGCACATTGTCTGCTGTCGTTTTACTTCCTCATGCTGACCTGATACCCCAGCCAATCCATTTTCCATCCACCCTTGCCAGTATCTCTACCCTCAGCCATATTGCCTTTGCCACTTGGATCATTATCCCAGTCTCAAGAACACCGAAAGATTACAAAATCCAGTTACCTATCTTGAACTGGCGCTTTGCAGTTTATAAGTCAACAGCTCTCGAGTGAAAGACGGAGACCCTTTCGACTTCGGCTTACTCCGGCTTCTTCATACGGGTACCGAAGAGTCATTCTGAACAACCTTGAGGTTGACCAGAAGAGAGAAGACGTGACCAATCCACGTTCATCCAAATATTACACCAAAACCTGCCGCGACCAGCAATAGCACGGGAGGCGCCAGCCACCACCACACCTCACCACTCGCTCTCAAGTATCTTTTTCCCGCACCGTCCAGGTTGTGTTCGCTCTTCATTCCCGTTGCCCACTCACTCACCGCCCGGGGTCTTGTTACTCGCTACGTACCCTGCTACCAAACTATCCAGGTCATAGACACTTCAGCGCCGTCTGAAGAGCCCTCAACTGTCCCTCCCGCTCCCCCACCCTCCTCCATTGCTCGTTCTTCCTCCGCTTTACACTCCTACCGCCCATCTCCGTTCTTAGCCTGCTACCCTCTTACCTCAGCTTCCAACTCTTGCGAGTGACCAAGCAAGGAAACAAGGCAACTACAGTACCGGCACTGGTCCGCACTCAAGCACACCAACTTTGGTGGTCCTCTTTGCTAGTTGGTGCTTCAACTATTGTCAGGCAAACCTCCCTCGCCGCTCCCTTTGCTCCGGCTTTCTCCCTGCAGATTGTCACGAGCAAAGGGTGATACCCATACACATTCCCAATGTCGTAAGTCTGGTCCGGATCCTCGATTCTACATCGCGACTGCGCCACATTACCTGGCCTGTGTCTGTTCTCCCTTCTTGGAACCAGCTAACCCCGGACCCTTTCCTCCTCTCTTTACGCCTGCAATAGGAGCCGACGATCAATCAACATCACTGTGAATAACCCAGGTCCTGCGTATTCCTCAACCACATCATCGAGCGGATACGACTCATCCCAGTACCAGTACGGGTACGGCCGCGACGACTCGATAGTCGATGACGAGGACGATGAGGAGGTGACCGACGACGAGTCCACCGAAGACGACCATTGGGATGACCACTACGACGAAATAGACCCTTCGGATTCTGCCTCGGCGACCGCGGAGTACTATCCTCACCCTCATCACGGGCATTCACCACTGCCTCCTCACTCTCCTCACTCTCGCTCTCACAGTACCCATAGCGCTCGGAGTCCCCGACTACTAGAACGCAGCGAGTCTGCGTCGCGCCGGAATCTAGTTTCCTCGGGGAGACAATCTTACTCTTATCGCGCCCCGACGGCACCTCCTCCTATGGAGTCGGAATACGGGGACGAGTTTGGAGGGTACGGTGGGCGCGGCCATGGACATCACTCACAACCCGGCTATTATGGCCGTGGCGCGGGTCACAGCGCCTACGCTCCTAGCCATGCTGGATATGTGCCTAGCCACTTCGGAAACCAGATGGTACCCTATGACTACAACAACCCATTCGCTCCCTCTCCCATGAACGACACCCTTGCCAGAACCAGACGCGGTGGTGGTGGCGGCGATGACTACTTTGGCGGCCACGATCCGCGTGGACATAACCCGCGCGGCCATCTCTACGACATGATGCCCTACGGAGGAGGAGGAGGACCAGGCGCCGCCGCCGGCGCTCTCGGTTACTACGGTGCCGGAGGCGGCTTCGGTACCCCCGGGCCCAGCCACATGGCCGGGCTCATGTTCCAACCCCCTCCACCACCACCCACCGAACACCCGGGCAAGTCACCAACCCCGGCGCCCGAGAAGAAGCCCGACCCAGAAATGGAAGCTCTCAAGAAGCAACTGGAAGAATTTCAACTCGAGAAGAAGCGCAAAGAAGAAGAGGAAAAGAATCGCGAGATTGAGCGCAAGATTCGCGAAAAAGCCGAGGAGGAGCTGCGCAAGAAGCAGGAAGAGGACCGCAAACGCGCCGAAGGGGAGAAGAAGCGCCAAGAGGAGCAGAACGCTGAGATGGAGCGGGCTGTCAAGGAGGCGCAGCGGGCGGCGGAGGAGAAGGCCGCTCAGGCGCGCAAGGAAGAGGAAGAGAGGCAGAGGAAACACGCTGAAGCGCTGGCTGAGGCTCAGAGGAAGGCAAGAGCTGAGTTTGAGGCTGAGCTTAAGGCTGCTGAGGAACGGCGCAAGCGCGAGGAGGAGGCTGCCAAGATCGCTGCTGAGCTTGAAAAGCAGAGGATTGAAGCGGCTGTGAGGGCAAAGGAGGAAGAGCTCAAGAAGAAGCATGCCGAGGAAGAGCTGCAGCGGATTGCGGCCGAGAAGAAGGCGGCGGAGGAGGCCGCGGAGAGAAAACGGCTGGAGGATGAAGCCAAGGCGAGGCTGGACCGGGCGCTTAAGGAGACCGAGGAAAAGATCGCTGCCGCCATCCGAGCCGACCGGGAGAAGGCCGCCGAGGAAGCGGCCAAGAAGGCGGCCGAAGAAGCTGAGAAGGCGCGCAAGCAGAAGGAGTTTGAGGAGTGGCAGAAGCATCTCGAGGCCGAGGCCAAGCTCAAGGCCGAGATCGAAGCCCGCGAGCGGATGGAAAAAGAAAGAGCGGAAGCCGCCAAGGCCGCGGCCGCCGAGGAGGAGCGCAAGAAGGCGGAGGAGGCACTGCGTAAGCGGCTCCTGGACGAGGCCGAGAACAAGGCCCGGGAAGCTGCCGAGAAGGCCAAGGCTGCCGAAGAAGAGAAAAAGGCTGCCGAGGAGGCGCTCAAGAAGAAGATCTTGGCCGAGGAAGCGGCCAAGAAGAAGGAGGAGGAGGAGGCTGAACAGAAAAAAGATAAGGCCCCCATCAGATTTAAGGACGCTGTAGGCCGCAAGTTCAGTTTTCCCTTCCGTCTGTGCCAGACGTGGCAGGTATGTTCTTTGCTTCCGTCCCCCACCACCCTGATCCCCTCCTTTCCCGCCCAAGTACTAACACATTCCCGCAGGGCATGGAAGAACTCATCAAACAAGCCTTCCTCCACGTCGACGTCATCGGCCCCCACGTTCAAGAAGGCCACTACGACCTGATCGGCCCCGACGGCGAGGTTATTCTCCCCTCCGTCTGGGAGCGCGTCATCGAGCCGGACTGGCAAATCACCATGCAGATGTGGCCCATGGACAAAGCGCCCCTCCGCAACCAGATGCCCCCCGGTGCTCTACCTCCGGGCTTCGGCGCCGGTGCCCCCGGTGGTCACGGAATGGGCGGTGGTCTCCCCGGCCAAGGTCGTCCCATGTTCCCCGGCGCCCCACCCGCTTCTCGTATGCCACCCGGCATCTCGGACGCACACGGGCACAGGATGGCGCACGACATGTTCCCTCCCGGGCAGCCTGTCCGTCCGCCTATGGGAATGCCTCCTGGTATGGGTATGGGTATGGGCATGGGTGGTGGTGGTGGTGGAGGAGGAGGTATCCCGCCCCCGCCCCCGCCTGGTTGGCCCCCTAGTGGCAGTAGACACGCCGCTGCGCCGCCGTCGAGACCCGCGGCCATCGTGGTCGATGTTGAACCCGAAGTCAGGCAGCACAGGTCGAAGCATTCGTCGAGCCACAGCAGGAAGGAGACGAAGGCGACGGTGTTGGGGTGGATGGCGGGCGGGAAGCCGGTGAAGAGTAGTAGTAGTAGTAAGAAGTATGTCCTTGTCAGGTATCCATCCGGTCCCTTACCCTGATGGTTATCAAATGGGAGAGAGAAAAGCTAACGTGTTGGGTTGTGAATAGGAAGAAGCACTAAGCGAGTCCATTGGGCGAATACGCCGGAGTCATCGACAATTTAGTCTGGGGTGTGGTATGGTCCTCGACTACGACACCCATTCGGCTCTCAAACCCTCCACGCTGGTTGATTAAAGAGCCGATCTACTCCTCCCTTTCTTTTTCATCGTCGCTTTTTTTTTTTTTGCGTTTGTTTGTTTTGGCTTTTGATACCTCTTTCTCTGCTTGATCTGGATTTTCGTATTCTTTTTTGTTTATTCTTTTTGGTGGATACAGAGGCGTTCCTTTAGGGGGGCTTTCTGACGCGCGTTGCTTCGTTACAAAATCTTATGACGAAAAAGTAGTACAGCGGGATGATGCGTGATGATGGATGAGAGATGAAGAAGTAATATAGTTGATGTCATATGATTGATGATACGAGATCATGTGTGGATGACTATCTATACGTTATGCCTGGGTAAAGGAAGAGATGTGGACGTGGATGTGGATGTGGATGTGGATGTGGATGAGGACGTGGACGGCGAGGAAGCAAGTGGTTGGATGCTGAATGGTGTAGGTTTTGGTTAGCAATACATCGGTACTTGGGAGGCTGTGTTCTAAACTTGACGTGAATGAATGCCTCTGGTGTTGACGCTTGCTGTAGATGGAGCATCGTTGGACCGTATCACTTTGCCTTTGCCAGTTCAGGATCCTCTGAGTAATGTGATGTACTTGGGTATCTTGTCTATTTCTGACAAAAAGCATGTCTATGTCTTGCTTTTCCAAGCCACGCCGTCTCTGTCTTAGCCAGGGTTATAATACAGTGATATCAAGAAGCAGCGCTGCTCGCCATGCCATCTAGTCTAGTCTAGTACTCCCAACACTTCGGCAGTTGGACCTTCTTTACCTAGGCGATCGATCGACCCTCTCTTTCACGACCCTTCTCTAACCAAGCTCATGAGATCGGCCCTTTGAGCCGCCAACTTCCACTTATCCACTCGACGTCAATCCAGGCTTGACATCCTATTACCAGACATCAATCCCCCTTCGCCCCATCACCGCCTCCAAGTCCTCCTCGCCCTCTCCTCAAAAGCCGCAACCATCTCATCCACCTTCTGTCCCGCCAACTGTCCCACGGCAAACCCCAGCGCCGGACTCGCAAACTTGAACCTCACACTCAGCGCCACCTCTGTCCATTTGTCGCCGGCCCCCTCTCCCCCTTGGCTCTTCTTCTTCGGAGCCGGCACGCTCCTCACCGTCCACCTCGTCACCAGACTCTCAAACAACCCCTCCATCTTCTCCGTCGTATCTGACGGCGAACTCTGGTGGTAGCCAAATTGCTGGAGAACAGTAGCAGGGATATTAGTAGAAGCATTCCCACTAACAGCCTCCACGATGCCTACACCCTGACCGTCGTCCGGAACGCAGTAGACGCGTGACGAGTAGGACTCGGTAAAGGGGCCCCAGCCTACTGTTAGGTCGCCGCGGGCTGGCCATTTTGTTGTTTTTGTTTTTGTCTTTTCATTTTCTTGCGTTGTCTCTGTCTCTGTCCCTGTCCGTGCCTCACCCTTTTCGGCGGGTGTTGTTGCTGTAATGGGTTGTTCCGCCCAAGCGGTGACCACGCTTCGACTGCAATGTGGCAGGAATTGGCTGTAGGAGGAAACGTCGGCGATCAGATTGTAGAGGTGCGCAGATGGGTAGGGAAGGATGCGGCGTGCGCGGAGGACGGTTTCTGGCGCGCTGTTGTTACCACCACCACCACCACCACCACCGGGAGAACCGTTGTTGAGGGCGGAGGCGGCGGAGGAGACGGCGGAGAGGAGCCAGGAGGAGTAAGAGCGGGTGGTGGTAGTGGTTGTTACTGGTGTAGGTGGTGAGGATATCCTCCGCTGGTGTGGGTGGTGGCAGGATATGGTGTTGCTGGTTGTGGTTGTGGTGGTGAGGGAGGAGAGAGACCGGACGATGCTCGTTCGGGGTATGAGGAGGCGCGTTGCGCTTGGAGGGACGCAGAGAGTATGTCTTGGTGGCATTGTGTCGAGGACAAGTCTCGTGGACTGGGTGAACGGGTCGAGCGAGGTAGGTGGTTTGCGCCGCGATTGTTGTAGTTGGGAGAGGATGTTTGCGGTTCGGGGTGGTGGAGGTTGGCTGTTGATGTTTTCGGTACCGGGTTCTTTTGTTATTTGAGTGATTAGGGAGAAACGGAGGCTAGAGAAGTTCGTGGAGGTTATGGAAGGGTGGCGAGCAGGCGAACCCGAATGCGCCGAAATAAACAAAGTTGGGAACTTTTTGAAGGCATTCCCGTCGCAATTCGGGGAACTTATCCCGAGGTCCGGGTTGGGTTGTTGTTATTCGGACTGTGCATGTGCTACCCCTAAGTTTACACTGTGATAGTGCTGTATGAGATTGCAGTCGGCGCTGAATGCCACTTTCAAGGTGCCCGTTGATTGCTAAGAATTTGCTATTCAAACCATGTTCTTGGCCCAACAGAGCACCTCTGCGGGGTACCCTGAATTCACGACATCAAGAATTGCAATCCATCACGACCAAGTTATCACGACACCAAACACTTCGAGAATTGATGTGAAGAGTGTGGGTAAGCTGGAAGAGATGAGAGAGATTCCGTGATTATCTATCATTGAGGGGAGTTGAATGTGACATGTAGTCTAATCACCCCCCCGTTGATGCCGAATCTTTTCCGATCACCAACAACGGACTGATAGCGGATCCTCCGTCCCATCTTCCACCGAGAGACCCCAGTCTCCCCGTCCACGGTCCTCGTCGAGAACGTCATCCGAACCTCACAAGGGACGGGCCGCGATTCTTTTAGTAACATCGTCAGTCTCGGATCACTTTGGTTCCCTTCATTAAAGTAGGTCCAACATTCTGTCTATGAGAGGCTGGTGCCGAGGGCCTTTATGACTCAACCCACCTGTACTACCATTTTCGTCGTCCGCAACCCCTCACCTACAAGTCCTTCTCTTACACATAACTGTCGACAGTATACCCGATTCATCGAAAATGGGAGGGCACCTGGTGACGGTTGCGACCTGCAGTCTGAACCAATGGGTTCTAGATGTAAGTCAACCCTCGTCAACCTTTTCATCATATCTGCATAGGATAGTACTAACTTGAACAAACAGTGGGAGGGAAACCTTCAACGCATCATTGAGAGTATCCATCTCGCCAAGAAGGCCGGTGCAAGACTTCGTGTCGGTCCTGAGTTGGAGATATGCGGTTACTCGAGTTTGGATCACTTTCACGAGCTCGATGTCTACACCCACAGTTTGGAGATGCTCCGCAAGCTGTTGGAGGATGAGAGCTGCCATGACATCCTTATCGACGTCGGTCTGCCTATCCTCCACCGGAACATCCGATATAATGCCCGGGCTATTTTGCTGAACGGAAAGATTCTCTTGATTGTAAGTATACTCCTTACTTCTAGATCATCCACTCTTCATTAACAAGTATGAACAGAGACCCAAGATGTGGCTTGCCAACGATGGAAACTACAGAGAGATGAGACACTTCACCCCCTGGATGCGTCCCAGAGAAACCGAACTGTTCCATCTGCCCAAGATCCTCCAGGAAATCCAGGGCGAAACCCACGTTCTCTTCGGGGACGCTGTCATTTCTACACCCGAGACAGCTTTCGGTGCAGAGACCTGCGAAGAGCTCTTCACTCCCAAGGCTCCTCACATCGACATGGCTCTTGACGGCGTTGAGATCATCACCAACAGCAGTGGCTCTCATTTCACCCTGCAAAAGCTTGACGTTCGCCTCCAGCTTATCATGGAGGCAACTCGCAAGTCGGGTGGTGTTTACCTGTATGCCAACCAACAAGGCTGTGATGGTGAACGCCTCTACTTTGACGGCTGTGCCATGATTATCGTCAATGGCAACATCGTTGCTCAGGGCTCACAGTTCAGTCTTAACGACGTGGAGGTTGTTACTGCTACTGTCGATCTGGAAGAAGTCAGAGCTTACAGGTCTTCGATCTCGCGTGGCTTGCAGGCGGCTACCTCGAATGCCAAGTACCAGAGGATCCAGACCTCGTTCGAGCTCAGCCCTGAGGATGAAGATACCGATATCTGGAAGAAGCCTACCCTTCCTAGGCCGCCGAGGTATCACTCAGTCGAGGAGGAGATTGCCCTGTGCGGTGGTTGCTATCTCTGGGATTACCTCCGAAGGTCTGGCACAGCGGGTTACTTGGTGCCCCTGAGCGGAGGCATCGACTCTTGCGCCACGGCTACCCTCGTCTTCTCCATGTGCCGGATCGTCATTCAAGCCATCGAAGACGGGAACCAGCAAGTCATTGAGGATGTCAGGCGCATCTGCAAGTATGGCAAGGAAGGCGAGCTTCCTAAGACGCCCCAAGAGCTTTGCAATCAGGTCTTCACTACCATCTACATGGGCATGAGCAAGCAGAGCTCCGCCGAGACTCGCGGACGTGCCAAGGAGCTTTCCGACGCTATTGGCAGCTACCATGTTAACCTCGACATTGACGATGTGTATGAGGCTCAGAAGAAGCTTATCGTCCAGACAACGAATTTTGAGCCCAGGTTCAAGGTCCATGGCGGCACAGTCCAGGAGAACTTGACGCTGCAGTGCTTGCAGGCTCGTATCAGGATGGTTACTGCCTATGTACGTGATGTTCCATCCTCGGGTCGAGAGACAACCATATGCTAACGGTATGATGTAGGAATTTGGTCAGATCCTCCCGACTGCCCGTGGCAGGCCCGGTGGTGGCAGTCTTTTGGTTCTTGGAAGTGCCAATGTTGGCGAGGTAAGTTTGGCAATGCTCAGTTCACACAAGTCAACGGATACTGATGCGTGTGGCAGAGTCTTCGTGGTTACTTGACAAAGTATGACTGCTCTAGTGCCGACATTAACCCCATCGGATCGATCGACAAGGCAGACTTGAAGCGCTTCATTGCCTGGGCTGAAAAGAAGTTTGATCTCCCTTGCCTCCACGGGTTCTTGACGGCTGTCCCTACTGCTGAGCTGGTATGTATTTTCGGATTCGTGATTTAGAGACTCATGAACCTGGTGCCTAACCACACCTTGCACTGTAGGAGCCCATTACCCAGGAATACGTCCAAAGCGACGAAGCCGACATGGGAATGACGTACGCCGAGCTCACAGTCTTTGGTCGTCTTCGAAAGCTGAACAAGCTTGGTCCCTATGCCATGTTCCAGCGTCTCGTCCACGACTGGAGCGCTGACCGTGAGAAGGTCGAGGGTGACGAGGCGCCTTTCTATACCCCCAGACAGGTTGCCGAGAAGGTCAAGAGGTTTTTCCACTTTTATGCCATCAACAGGCACAAGATGACCACCTTGACTCCCGCATTGCACTGCAATGATTACTGTAAGTTTATACCATGGCTTAGTTGTCAAATCACCATAAGCTGACCCCATCATAGCGCCGGATGACAACAGATTCGACCTCAGGCCGTTCTTGTATCCCCCTTTCTGGAAGAGCTGGAGCTTCAAGAGAATCGATATGGAGCTCGAGAAAATCGAGAAGAGGAGGGAGGAGCGTGCGGGCAAAGGCAAGGAGACTGCTTAGGGTTGACAAATACTCGACTGATATGTGTTCAGTAGTATTCAAATGAATTTCAAGAAGCCAAAAAAAGTGATCGACGACTGGCTCGAACGCACCACCTGTCTCCAAGCAAGAGAGGAGAGGAGCAAAAAACAACAACCGCCCAGTCAGAGCATCGGTGAACCGTTTGATTTCTTCTGTCGACTGGAGCGTTCCCAGATACCATATAGGTAGACCGGCTACTAGATGTGAAGACCCCTTTTCGTATCTTAGCACACCGTTCCCGATCCGGACAGGCAATAGGTTTTTGAGTTTTGAGAACTCAAACGGTAGACCGTTGTGCCATCTGACCAAGCGGTTGTTGTTGGAATGAGGGATCAACCAGGTCCCTTATATGGTCATTAGCGTTGAGGTCGAGATCGGATGAAGGAGTCGTAGGGAAGGGAAGGTACGGCAGCGGCAGCCACGGGACTCAAAGGTCGAACGGTTCGGTTGGGGAGAAGCGATGAATTGTATCTGCTTCTAACATCTGGTCTCATTCCACCGTCAAGATCTTAATTCTATTTATTTGCAAGCATTCGACTGCGAGTTATCAGATATGATTTCGGGGGCGAGTGAAGGACAGCTCCTTGATGCAACAATGAACACTCAGGGTTAGGGGTAGATAAGGATAACGCAATGAATCGGAGCTGTGCCCACTGAGTGCAAAATTGGGTGGGCCCTCCGCAACCCCAACTGGCCCCACAATGCTCTGGACCATTTTTGTACTTTTTCTCGTTTCGGAATTTGCAAATCTTTTCCCCCTCCTCTCCTCTCCCTCTCTTCATTCTTCGTTCCCTCCGCGGTTCAAGAACCAGCACGATATGCTGCGTCAACCTTTCAACAAAGCCAGTGCCATTCAATGACCAGTGGTGATTGTTAGCTGCATCTTCTTACCAGTGCACTAACTAGGATCCTCCAACATTGTCCTTCGCCATGGCATCGAATGGTGTCGTCGCTCCTGTTGCCTCTAGCCAGGCGCAGGTTGTCGTCGATGAACAACAACAGCAGCCCGAGCAGCAGCTCGCTGCCCAGATCTCCAAGCTCGAAATAGCCGAGGAGAAACAGCAGCCTGAGCAGCAGCAAGAGGAACAGCAGCCTCCCCACCGGTCCCACGATCCCCAGTTCAACCAAAAGCGCAGCGACCCGTTTCAGTTCGGATCTCGCTATCTGCAAGAGCAGGACGACGTCTTTGAGTTCAACGCGTGGGACCATGTCGAGACTGATGACGCATACAAGGAGTATGCTGAACAGCAGTACGAGATGCAGCGCAATGCGCCCGTCTCGGACTTTGATAAGCGTGAGTAACCACACGTCCATCTTTCACACCTTACTCTCCCCAATGGTTCACGCTAAGAGAGGGGTTCACACCCATTGCACCTCTCTCTTGGGCTTCCGTGATGATTTACAATCATAAGCATAGTTCATCTGAATTATTCATGAAGACAACTACGTATTTTATAGTCTTTCGCTCCCATCTGATTTTGCCCTTAACCATTGGGTTTCTGGAACGCACTTCAAGTTATTTACACTTTCAGACCTGGGAGCAGTCTGCTAACTCGACTTGCCTGCAACAGATCGGTTCAACTCGGACCCTGCAAAGTGGTGGAACCAGTTCTACAAGAACAACACCGCCAACTTTTTCAAGGATCGCAAGTGGCTTCAGCAAGAGTTCCCCATC